CTGTCTGACTCTGTACCTGTCTGTCTCTCTGTACCTGTCTGTCTCTCTGTACCTGTCTGACTCTGTACCTGTCTGTCTCTCTGTACCTGTCTGTCTCTCTGTACCTGTCTGACTCTGTACCTGTCTGACTCTCCTGTCTGTCTCTCTGTACCTGTCTGACTCTGTACCTGTCTGACTCTGTACCTGTCTGACTCTGTACCTGTCCGTCTCTCTGTACCTGTCTGTCTCTCTGTACCTGTCTGACTCTGTACCTGTCTGACTCTGTACCTGTCTGTCTCTCTGTACCTGTCTGACTCTGTACCTGTCTGACTCTGTACCTGTCTGACTCTGTACCTGTCTGTCTCTCTGTACCTGTCTGTCTTTCAGGCTGGTGTACAGACAGTTTTATCCGTTGGCGATAGAGATCTGTCGTTACCTGAAGATTCCCGACTTTCAGGGTGTCAGCAGAGTGCTCAAACACTGGGCTTCATGTAAGGTAAGCTGTCTCACCTGTCTCACCTGTACATCAGACTGATTTACCTGATTTAACTCTTAGACTATGTGGTTGTGTCCAGGTTCAGCAGAAGGACCTATCAGATGATGCCATAGCTCGAGCGGTGTGTGTGAAAGTGGGGGACTCACCGGGGGTTTCTTACTCGCACATCGCCGCCAAAGCGTACGACTGTGGACGCACAGAGCTGGCCATCAAGGTAGGGCCACGTTCACACCTGAACACTAACCCCGCCTCTACTTACTTAATTCACCAACATACATGTAGTTGTGGATAAGTCATGCTCGTGACATCACAGTGGGCGGAGTCACAGCTCGTACTGGGCCCTGGACTCAATAAGACCACGTCATCTGGTCACTAATGAGACCCCTAACCTCTGACCCCTGACCCAATCACTATCACAATCTAACCCCTAACCTCTGACCTCTGACCCTCTAAACCACTGCTGTGATTATCTTCATTCAGGATGTTTGAACTCTGAGGGGTCAAGAGGGAAAGAGACCCTAAATAAGAACTCTGTCACCTGTTCACCCAGTCTGTCACCTGCTGGATCTCTCTCTCTGACCTGACTCTCACCTGGTTGTTACCTGAGACATGAAGCTCACCTGCTGGATCTCATCATCTCTGTGTTTGTTCTTCAGCTGTTAGACTTCGAGGCGCGCTCAGGTGAACAGGTTCCTCTGCTGCTGAAGATGAAGAGGAGTCAGTTGGCTCTCAGTAAAGCTGTGGAGAGTGGAGACACTGACCTAGGTAAGCCTCTGTAAGCCCCGCCCATCAGCTGTCCATCAGGTTAACCATGTGACACTCACATTTCCTGTGTTTGCAGTTTACACAGTGGTGACTTACCTGAAGAACGAAATGAACAGAGGAGATTTCTTCATGACCCTGAGGAACCAACCGGTCGCTCTCAGCCTCTACAGACAGGTACAGACTACAGACAGGTACAGACTACAGACAGGTACAGACTACAGACTACAGACTACAGACAGGTACAGACAGGTACAGACTACAGACAGGTACAGACTACAGACTACAGACAGGTACAGACTACAGACTACAGACTACAGACAGGTACAGACTACAGACTACAGACTACAGACAGGTACAGACTACAGACTACAGACAGGTACAGACTACAGACTACAGACTACAGACAGGTACAGACTACAGACAGGTACAGACTACAGACAGGTACAGACAGGTACAGACTACAGACAGGTACAGACTACAGACTACAGACAGGTACAGACTACAGACAGGTACAGACTACAGACAGGTACAGACTACAGACTACAGACAGGTACAGACTACAGACAGGTAGTCCATGATGAGTTTTTGATGTTGGTCTGTTGTCAGTTCTGTAAACTGCAGGAACAGGACACTCTGAAGGATCTTTATAATCAGGATGATGATCATCAGGAACTCGCTAACTACTATGTTACTGCCAGTTACAGAGAGAAGGTAAGAACACCTGTTGACTGTTCACCTGTTCCACCTTTATGAATCAGTCTCTGTCCCTCTCACCCTACCTACCTGTCTGTCTGTCTTCAGAGGTTAGACAGCCGTCTGTCTGTCCTGCAGTCTGCTGTCGATGAATACAATAAGGCGAAGAACGAGTTCTCTGCAAAGGTAAACTCATTCATCTCTCTCAATAGATCCATGACGCTGTTTAATAACATGACGCTAGAAGTAATCATGATGTCATCATGATGTCATAGGTTTAGCTCCCTGATCACATCATAAAGGGTGCTACCTTCAAGTTTCATTAATGGTGTTGAAGTCTTCATTTCTTTTCTCAGGCCACAGAAGAGGAGATGCGCCTCCTTCGTTTCCAGCGAAAGCTAGACGATGAGAAAGGGGCGGGGCTTTTAGGACTGTCTTTACAGGTACATAAGGGGTGTGGCTTTAAGGACTGTCTCTACAGGTACATCAGGGGCAGGGCTTTAAGGATTGTCTTTACAGGTACATAAGGGGTGTGGCTTTAAGGACTGTCTCTACAGGTACATCAGGGGCAGGGCTTTAAGGACTGTCTCTACAGGTACATAAGGGGTGTGGCTTTAAGGACTGTCTCTACAGGTACATCAGGGGCGGGGCTTTAAGGACTGTCTTTACAGGTACATAAGGGGTGTGGCTTTAAGGACTGTCTCTACAGGTACATCAGGGGCAGGGTTGATGTCTCTTCCTGTGTGTGATATGTCCGCAGGCCACCATGGAGGCTCTGCTGGCTTCAGGACTCAACAAACAAGCAGAACAACTTTACAGAGACTTCAGAGTACCTGACAAAAGGTGAGCTGTCAGGAAGTGATGTCACCGCTCTCTCGCTCGCTGTGATTGGTTAAACTTCTACTATAGGAAACACAAGTTGAAGGATCTTTATTCCAAATATCTTTTCTATCATTTATTGTAGCTCAGCTGTTCTTCAGTGTCTCTCTCTGTACCTGTCTCTGTCCCTGTCCCTGTCCCTGTCTGTGTCCCTGTCTCTGTCCCTGTCTCTCTCTCTGTCCCTGTCCCTGTCTGTGTCTCTGTCCCTGTCTCTCTCTCTGTCCCTGTCTCTCTGTCTCTGTCTCTCTGTCTCTGTCTCTGTCTCTGTCTCTGTCTCTGTCTCTGTCTCTGTCCCTGTCTCTGTCTCTGTCTCTGTCTCTGTCCTGTCTCTGTCCCTGTCTCTGTCTCTGTCCCTGTCCCTGTCTGTGTCTCTGTCCCTGTCTCTCTGTCTCTCTGTCTCTGTCTCTGTCCCTGTCTGTGTCTCTGTCCCTGTCTCTCTGTCTCTGTCTCTGTCTCTGTCCCTGTCTCTCTGTCTCTGTCTCTGTCCCTGTCTGTGTCTCTGTCCCTGTCTCTCTGTCTCTGTCTCTGTCTCTGTCCCTGTCTCTCTGTCTCTCTGTCTCTGTCCCTGTCTCTCTGTCTCTCTGTCTCTGTCCCTGTCTCTGTCTCTGTCTCTGTCTCTGTCCCTGTCTCTCTGTCTCTGTCCCTGTCTCTGTCCCTGTCCCTGTCCCTGTCCCTGTCCCTGTCCCTGTCTCTGTCCCTGTCCCTGTCCCTGTCTGTGTCACTGTCCCTGTCTCTCTGTCTCTGTCTCTGTCCCTGTCCCTGTCTCTGTCTCTGTCTGTGTCTCTGTCCCTGTCTCTCTGTCTCTGTCTCTGTCTCTGTCTCTGTCTCTGTCCCTGTACCTGTCTCTGTCTCTGTCTCTGTCTCTGTCTCTGTCCCTGTCCCTGTCTGTGTCTCTTTTTCTGTCTCTCTCTCTGTACCTGTCTCTGTACCTGTCTCTGTCTCCTCACCTGTCCATCTGTCTCGCTCTGTCTCATTTGTATACCTACCTCTGCCGACTTGTGTGTCTCACCTGTCTCTCTATCTGTCTCTCTACCTGTGCAGGTATTGGTGGTTAAAACTGAAGTCCCTGGCAGAGAAGGAGGAGTGGGAGGAGTTAGAAAAGTTCTCAAAGAGCAAAAAGAGTCCTATTGGTTACCTGGTAAGTCCTCAAATCAAAACCATAGAACACATTTCCCATGAGTCTTTGTGTTTTTGAGATTTTATTTTATTAAAATAAAGAACACATTTCCCATGAGTCTTTGTGTTTTTGAGATTTTATTTTATTAAAATAAAGAACACATTTCCCATGAGTCTTTGTGTTTTTGAGATTTTATTTTATTAAAATAAAGAACACATTTCCCATGAGTCTTTGCGTTCATTCTTCTTCAGGCCTTTGTTGAAGTCTGCATGAAGAGTAACAACAAGAGCGAGGCTAAGAAGTATGTTTCCAAGGTGACACCTGAGCAGAAGGTCAAAGCTCACCTGGCCATCAGGTAAGACTCAGAGCACCTGTGACATCATGAGACAGGTGAGAGCTGACTGCTCAGGTAAAATGTCTTCTCCCGCAGTGACCTCGAAGGGGCGGCAGAGGCTGCAATCGAGCGCAAGAATGAGTCAGAGATGGGGGCGGTGCTCTCCAGATGCTCCTCCTCAGACCGCCTGTTGATTGACAGGTTGAACCGTGCCAGAACCTCCCTCGCCAAAAAGTGACCTTTACGTTACTACAGTCTGTGTTTAAACCCCGCCTCCTGAGGGTCACAGTGACGTCAGCCTACCTGCAAACATGATGACGAGCCGAGAAGACGAGTTTGTGCGTCTTTGAGGTTCGTTGTTTACCTGTTTACATCATTTCCTGCTTTTGCTGCTTCACAATAAAAGCTTTCCACCACAGAACCAGCTCAATCTTTTATTATTTGAATTATTGGAATGTTTATTTTAACAATATCTTCAGTTGAATTTTTAATATTCTTATGTTTTAAATAAATAAATTATTGGTTTGGTGCCTTCACTGCATGGTCTGTGTTTCCATGGAGACGGTAAGTTGTTTAAAATGATGAAACAGATATTTTTATATCAAAGTGTTGTAGTTCTCATTTCTACCTCAGGGGGGCGATAGAGTTAAAAGAAAATATTTCAGGACGTTTCTAGTTTGGATGTTGCAGTCAAAACGTCACTTCCGTTTTATTCAGTTCATACGTTTCCGTCAGCTGGTCAGCCTTAGTCACGTCGGTGCGTTTGTCCGGAGTGGGCGGGGCTATCGTGACGTCAGTACGTCAACTGTGATCCGTGAAGAAGTGGAGTAGTTGCCTTTGAAGTTATTCTGAATCCTGTTCACGGTAAGTTTCACCTTTCTTTGTTTCTACTTAACTCTGAATGTTCCCGGAAGAAGTTCTGCAGTCAACAAACCAATTCCCGCGAGAATTCTCGTCGATATTCAGTGAAACTAGTCACGAGCGTCTCCGCTCCTCACCAACCTGAACACACTCATTAACCTGTACAGGTGTGTGTAATGAACACACTCATTAACCTGTACAGGTGTGTGTAATGAACACACTCATTAACCTGTACAGGTGTGTGTAATGAACACACTCATTAACCTGTACAGGTGAACACACTCATTAACCTGTACAGGTGTGTACATGTGATGAGATATGGGAAAGGGTAACGGGGGCTTGTGACTCATTGGACCAATAAGAGACTGCCCTCACTCTTTGAACTCTGACCCCTGAAAATCACGCTCACATGTTTTGTTGTGTCTCTATAAGAGGGTCTATAAGAGGGTCTATAAGAGGGTCTCTATAAGAGGGTCTCTATAAGAGGGTCTATATAAGAGGGTCTCTATAAGAGGGTCTATATAAGAGGGTCTATAAGAGGGTCTATAAGAGGGTCTATAAGAGGGTCTCTATAAGAGGGTCTATATAAGAGGGTCTATAAGAGGGTCTCTATAAGAGGGTCTCTATAAGAGGGTCTATAAGAGGGTCTATATAAGAGGGTCTATAAGAGGGTCTCTATAAGAGGGTCTCTATAAGAGGGTCTATAAGAGGGTCTATAAGAGGGTCTATAAGAGGGTCTATAAGAGGGTCTATATAAGAGGGTCTCTATAAGAGGGTCTATAAGAGGGTCTATAAGAGGGTCTATATAAGAGGGTCTATATAGAGGGTCTATAAGAGGGTCTATAAGAGGGTCTATAAGAGGGTCTATAAGAGGGTCTATAAGAGGGTCTATATAAGAGGGTCTATAAGAGGGTCTATAAGAGGGTCTATAAGAGGGTCTATAAGAGGGTCTATATAAGAGGGTCTATATAAGAGGGTCTATAAGAGGGTCTATAAGAGGGTCTATAAGAGGGTCTATAAGAGGGTCTCTATAAGAGGGTCTATATAAGAGGGTCTATAAGAGGGTCTATAAGAGGGTCTATAAGAGGGTCTATAAGAGGGTCTATAAGAGGGTCTATATAAGAGGGTCTATAAGAGGGTCTATAAGAGGGTCTATAAGAGGGTCTATAAGAGGGTCTATAAGAGGGTCTATATAAGAGGGTCTATAAGAGGGTCTATAAGAGGGTCTATAAGAGGGTCTCTATAAGAGGGTCTCTATAAGAGGGTCTATAAGAGGGTCTATAAGAGGGTCTATATAAGAGGGTCTATAAGAGGGTCTATAAGAGGGTCTATATAAGAGGGTCTATAAGAGGGTCTATAAGAGGGTCTATAAGAGGGTCTATAAGAGGGTCTATATAAGAGGGTCTATAAGAGGGTCTATAAGAGGGTCTATATAAGAGGGTCTATAAGAGGGTCTATAAGAGGGTCTATAAGAGGGTCTATATAAGAGGGTCTATAAGAGGGTCTATAAGAGGGTCTATATAAGAGGGTCTATAAGAGGGTCTATAAGAGGGTCTATAAGAGGGTCTATAAGAGGGTCTATAAGAGGGTCTATAAGAGGGTCTATAAGAGGGTCTATAAGAGGGTCTATAAGAGGGTCTATAAGAGGGTCTATAAGAGGGTCTATAAGAGGGTCTATAAGAGGGTCTATAAGAGGGTCTATAAGAGGGTCTATATAAGAGGGTCTATAAGAGGGTCTATAAGAGGGTCTATATAAGAGGGTCTATAAGAGGGTCTATATAAGAGGGTCTATAAGAGGGTCTATAAGAGGGTCTATAAGAGGGTCTATAAGAGGGTCTATATAAGAGGGTCTATAAGAGGGTCTATAAGAGGGTCTATATAAGAGGGTCTATAAGAGGGTCTATAAGAGGGTCTATAAGAGGGTCTCTATAAGAGGGTCTATAAGAGGGTCTATAAGAGGGTCTCTATAAGAGGGTCTCTATAAGAGGGTCTATAAGAGGGTCTATATAAGAGGGTTTCTATAAGAGGGTCTATAAGAGGGTCTCTATAAGAGGGTCTATAAGAGGGTCTATAAGAGGGTCTCTATAAGAGGGTCTATAAGAGGGTCTATAAGAGGGTCTCTATAAGAGGGTCTCTATAAGAGGGTCTCTATAAGAGTCTATAAGAGGGTCTATAAGAGGGTCTCTATAAGAGGGTCTATAAGAGGGTCTCTATAAGAGGGTCTATATAAGAGGGTCTCTATAAGAGGGTCTCTATAAGAGTCTATAAGAGGGTCTATAAGAGGGTCTCTATAAGAGGGTCTATAAGAGGGTCTCTATAAGAGGGTCTATAAGAGGGTCTCTATAAGAGGGTCTCTATAAGAGGGTCTATATAAGAGGGTCTCTATAAGAGGGTCTCTATAAGAGTCTATAAGAGGGTCTATAAGAGGGTCTCTATAAGAGGGTCTATAAGAGGGTCTATAAGAGGGTCTATAAGAGGGTCTATAAGAGGGTCTATATAAGAGGGTCTATAAGAGGGTCTATATAAGAGGGTCTCTATAAGAGGGTCTCTATAAGAGGGTCTATAAGAGGGTCTATATAAGAGGGTCTCTATAAGAGGGTCTCTATAAGAGGGTCTATAAGAGGGTCTATATAAGAGGGTCTCTATAAGAGGGTCTCTATAAGAGTCTATAAGAGGGTCTATAAGAGGGTCTCTATAAGAGGGTCTATAAGAGGGTCTATAAGAGGGTCTCTATAAGAGGGTCTCTATAAGAGGGTCTATAAGAGGGTCTCTATAAGAGGGTCTATAAGAGGGTCTATAAGAGGGTCTATAAGAGGGTCTCTATAAGAGGGTCTATAAGAGGGTCTCTATAAGAGGGTCTCTATAAGAGGGTCTATAAGAGGGTCTCTATAAGAGGGTCTCTATAAGAGGGTCTCTATAAGAGGGTATATAAGAGGGTCTATATAAGAGGGTCTATATAAGAGGGTCTATAAGAGGGTCTCTATAAGAGGGTCTATAAGAGGGTCTATAAGAGGGTCTCTAAGAGTCTCTATAAGGGTCTCTGAGGTCAATGTGGACCCCTGTGTACTGCTGTCCCACAGTGATGTTTATGTACAGCTCTATTGAGACTGTCTAACCCCTGACCCAGTGCAGGAGGGGGTCTAACATGATAAACTATGGGGGACCTTAAAGGGGGTACAAGGGGTTTTCCCTCCAGTCTCATGAACCCTCCTCACCATTATTTTGAACTTCCTGTAACTTCCTGTAACTTCCTGTTCAGCGACCCCGAGTCCTTTAAAAAAATAAAATGTAGAATAAATGAATAATCTATAATACGGTCGAAGTAATCATGCTGTATTTGCCTTCCTGTTTCCTTGACCAAACACTGATTGGTCCGTAGTGTTGATGATGTCATCAGTGAAAGTGGAGACCGTTGTGAAGGTTGGCGCTCTGATTGGTGAAGGGCCGGTGTGGGAGGAGTCAGAGCAGACGCTGCTGTTTGTCGACATCGCAGGACAGAAAATTCACCGCTGGAGTCCGATGACTAATCAGATCAACTCTGTGGAGACAAGTCAGCCAATCAGCAGGCAGGAAACATTCAGCCATGTTTATTAATGAATATATGAATTAATCAGACCTGTCTGTCTGTCACCTGTCTCTCTGCCTCCAGGTGACACGGTGGGCTTCGCGGTTCCTCGCAGGTCAGGTGGTTACATCGCAGGAGTCGGTCGCAGCATCGTTGCTGTTGATTGGCCAACTCAGGGGATGACATCATTGCTAGAGGTCGATGGGGACAAACCAAACAACCGACTGAATGACGGGAAGGTCGATCCAATTGGACGGCTGCTGGCAGGTAGGTCTGTCCACCTGTCTCTATGCCTGTCTGTCTGCAGCAGTGTTGCCATGGTGACAGTATGTTGTGTCTCAGGTTCGATGGGGAGAGAGGCAGTAGCTGAAAGACAACAAGGATCTCTGTTTTCTGTGACCTCTGACCTCACCTTGACTAAACACCTGAGCCAGGTAACTGTCTGTCTGTCTGTATCTGTCTTACTCTCAGGTGGACATATCTAATGGGATGGACTGAACACTGACCTGTCTATCTGTACCTGTCTTACTCTCAGGTGGACATATCTAATGGGATGGACTAAACACTGACCTGTCTATCTGTACCTGTCTTACTCTCAGGTGGACATATCTAATGGGATGGACTGAACACTGACCTGTCTGTCTGTACCTGTCTTACTCTCAGGTGGACATATCTAATGGGATGGACTGAACACTGACCGTCTGTCTGTACCTGTCTTACTCTCAGGTGGACATATCTAATGGATGGACTAAACACTGACCTGTCTGTCTGTACCTGTCTTACTCTCAGGTGGACATATCTAATGGGATGGACTGAACACTGACCTGTCTGTCTGTACCTGTCTTACTCTCAGGTGGACATATCTAATGGGATGGACTGAACACTGACCTGTCTGTCTGTACCTGTCTTACTCTCAGGTGGACATATCTAATGGGATGGACTGAACACTGACCTGTCTGTCTGTACCTGTCTTACTCTCAGGTGGACATATCTAATGGGATGGACTGAACACTGACCTGTCTGTCTGTACCTGTCTTACTCTCAGGTGGACATATCTAATGGGATGGACTGAACACTGACCTGTCTGTCTGTACCTGTCTTACTCTCAGGTGGACATATCTAATGGGATGGACTGAACACTGACCTGTCTGTCTGTACCTGTCTTACTCTCAGGTGGACATATCTAATGGGATGGACTGAACACTGACCTGTTTGTCTGTACCTGTCTTACTCTCAGGTGGACATATCTAATGGGATGGACTGAACACTGACCTGTCTGTCTGTACCTGTCTTACTCTCAGGTGGACATATCTAATGGGATGGACTGAACACTGACCTGTCTGTCTGTACCTGTCTTACTCTCAGGTGGACATATCTAATGGGATGGACTGAACACTGACCTGTCTGTCTGTACCTGTCTTACTCTCAGGTGGACATATCTAATGGGATGGACTGAACACTGACCTGTCTGTCTGTACCTGTCTTACTCTCAGGTGGACATATCTAATGGGATGGACTGAACACTGACCTGTCTGTCTGTACCTGTCTTACTCTCAGGTGGACATATCTAATGGGATGGACTGAACACTGACCTGTCTGTCTGTACCTGTCTTACTCTCAGGTGGACATATCTAATGGGATGGACTGAACACTGACCTGTCTGTCTGTACCTGTCTTACTCTCAGGTGGACATATCTAATGGGATGGACTGGTCTTTGGATCAGAAGACATTTTTCTACATCGACAGTTTGGCTCTGACGGTTGACGCGTTCGACTACGACCTGTCCACTGGTCACCTTGGTAACTATTTGTGTCCTTTTATGTGCTGTGTGTTTCTGTGTTTGCTTATGTGTCTAACTATAATTGCGTTGTCTAGGTAACCGTCGTGTGGTGTACCGTATGGAGGAGGGGGAGGGACTTCCTGATGGAATGACCGTGGATCTGGAAGGTCGTCTGTGGGTCGCCTGTTACAACGCAGGACAAGTCATCAACATCGACCCAACTACTGGTTAGTTGTACTGGTTACACACACACACACACACACACACACACACACACACACACACACACACAGATATATAAGTGTGAGAGTGTGTGTGTGTTGAATGCTGTCAGGTGTGAGGCTGCGTTCGGTCTCTTTTCCTGTGAGGAAAACCACTTCCTGTTGTTTTGGTGGTCTGGATTTCTCTGACCTCTATGTGACCTCAGCCAGTCTGGGCCTTAACCAGTCAGAGATGACACATCAGGTGGAGGCGGGACACACCTTCAGGGTAAGATAAGATTCATTACCTCACTTTTTACACTTTACTCTGCGCACACACCTGGCCATGACCTCTCTGTGTGTGTGTGTGTGTGTGTGTGTGTGTGTGTGTGTGTGTGTGTGTGTGTGTGTGTGTGTGTGTGTGTGTGTGTGTGTGTGTGTGTGTGTGTGTGTGTGTGTGTGTGTGTTGTGTGTGTGTGTGTGTGTGTGTGTGTGTGTGTGTGTGTGTGTGTGTGTGTGTGTGTGTGTGTGTGTGTGTGTGTGTGTGTGTAGGTGACCGGGCTTGGGGTTAAAGGTCGTCCTCCATGTGTGTTCTCTGGATGATCTTGAGGCTCAAGCAGCCAATAGCAGCACAGATAACCTGATAATATTAAACTGGATGTTTGGAATGATAGGGTTAGGGTCACCGGGATCATTTTGTTGCTGTTTGAAAATAAAGGATGAGCCATTCAAAGTTAATGACCTCTTTAATGTCTTCTCTGAGGATTCTGGGTAATGTAGTGTTGTGTAATGTAGATGCTGTGATTCACCTGACTGTAAAAATATTTTACCTGTCTACCTTTAAAAGATGAGCCATCATCATCATCAGTGTTTTTATTTACACAAGAATCACAACAAACAAACAAACATCACAACTTCTAGAAAATGTTGCGTAGAAAACTTTGTGCTTTTTTTTTCTTTTAATTTGTAATGTTTAAGGGGGGAAGGGGATGGGGGGGGTCCATATCTGCTCGGGTCATCAAAGCGAGTCCAGGTGTCTTCTGTGCATCATGTGAGTCCAGGCAGGTCCAGGTGTGTCCTGTGAGTCCAGCTGGTCCTCCTCTGGGTCATATCGTCATCATTGAATCATGCGAGTTTTCTCTTCTTCTCTTGTTTTAAACTTGAACCTGTGCTGTAGTTCAGTCTCACCACTGCGTGCGGCAGATACAAAGAGGAAGAACATTCCAGTTTGAAGAGTCACACTGTTCTGGTTCTGAGGATGGTGAAGAGTGAGGAAGAGGAAGAGCCTAGTGACACTAAATTCTAACTAACGTAATGCTAACAATGGTTGCTAACTGGGAGGCTAACTAGAGGCTGGCTAACTTGAGACTAGCTTGGTGGCTATCTAACTAGGAGGCTAACTGGATGCTCAGCTGACAGTGTGTGGGCTCAGTAGTATAGTAGAACTCAGTAGAACTCAGTAGAACAGGATGCAGAGTAAAGAATAGAACCCGCACAAATTAACGACACAGGACTCAAACACTCTACAGACCAGAACCAGAACCAAAGACCTGCTGACCTTTGACCCTTCACGACATAAGAATGATGAATTCTGCTTGTACAGCGCCCCCAGTGGAGGAGAGCAGCAGAGACCTTGTTTATCCAGGAAAAAGGTATGTTGTCACATTTGTGTCCTCATCCTCACCAGGTGTCATAAATAAAAAAAGTGATCTCACCTGTCAAATAATTGGATTGTCTTTGAGTTTGAAACGGTCCTCAGCACAGAGGCGCTGAACATCGAAACTCTTCATGGACAAAATAGTTAAAGTGCTTGAACAACACACACCAAACACCTGCTGAGATGGACCATGTGACTCCATGTTCAGACGGACTGTTTCCTGTTTTTCTTTATTGTTCATGTGGAGCGTGCTCTCCTTAAATCCACAGAAGAAGAACAACAAAGTGTTGTCAGGTGACTCTGCTTTGATTGTTGAAATGATGTCATCAGTTCACATTGATTAATCAGAAATGTTCAAAGTGCTGATTGGTCCCATTGATTAGAAGTGGGCATGGCTGGCTGAAGAAGAGTCATCCATTTCAACGTAAGCTCTCTGAGGTGTATCCCTCTTTGTGATGTCATGTCTCTGTGATGTCATGTCTCTGTGATGTCATGTCTCTCTCTGTGATGTCATGTCTCTGTGATGTCATGTCTCTGTGATGTCATGTCTCTGTGATGTCATGTCTCTGTGATGTCATGTCTTTGTGATGTCATGTCTCTGTGATGTCATGTCTCTGTGATGTCATGTCTCTCTGTGATGTCATGTCTCTGTGATGTCATGTCTCTCTGTGATGTCATGTCTCTCTGTGATGTCATGTCTCTGTGATGTCATGTCTCTCTGTGATGTCATGTCTCTCTGTGATGTCATGTCTCTGTGATGTCATGTCTCTCTGTGATGTCATGTCTCTGTGATGTCATGTCTCTCTGTGATGTCATGTCTCTCTGTGATGTCATGTCTCTCTGTGATGTCATGTCTCTGTGATATCATGTCTTTGTGATGTCATGTCTCTGTGATGTCATGTCGCTCTCTGTGATGTCATGTCTCTCTCTGTGATGTCATGTCTCTGTGATGTCATGTCTCTCTCTGTGATGTCATGTCTCTGTGATGTCATGTCTCTCTGTGATGTCATGTCTCTCTCTGTGATGTCATGTCTCTGTGATGTCATGTCTCTCTGTGATGTCATGTCTCTGTGATGTCATGTCTCTCTGTGATGTCATGTCTCTCTGTGATGTCATGTCTCTGTGATGTCATGTCTCTCTGTGATGTCATGTCTCTGTGATATCATGTCTCTGTGATGTCATGTCTCTCTGTGATGTCATGTCTCTCTGTGATGTCATGTCTCTGTGATGTCATGTATCTGTGATGTCATGTCTCTCTGTGTGATGTCATGTCTCTGTGATGTCATGTCTCTCTGTGATGTCATGTCTCTCTCTGTGATGTCATGTCTCTGTGATGTCATGTCTCTCTGTGATGTCATGTCTCTGTGATGTCATGTCTCTCTGTGATGTCATGTCTCTCTGTGATGTCATGTCTCTGTGATGTCATGTCTCTCTGTGATGTCATGTCTCTGTGATATCATGTCTCTGTGATGTCATGTCTCTCTGTGATGTCATGTCTCTCTGTGATGTCATGTCTCTGTGATGTCATGTATCTGTGATGTCATGTCTCTCTGTGATGTCATGTCTCTCTGTGATGTCATGTCTCTCTGTGATGTCATGTCTCTGTGATGTCATGTCTCTCTGTGATGTCATGTCTCTCTGTGATGTCATGTCTCTGTGATGTCATGTCTCTGTGATGTCATGTCTCTCTGTGATGTCATGTCTCTGTGATATCATGTCTCTGTGATGTCATGTCTCTCTGTGATGTCATGTCTCTCTGTGATGTCATGTCTCTGTGATGTCATGTATCTGTGATGTCATGTCTCTCTGTGATGTCATGTCTCTCTGTGATGTCATGTCTCTGTGATGTCATGTCTCTCTGTGATGTCATGTCTCTCTGTGATGTCATGTCTCTGTGATGTCATGTCTCTCTGTGATGTCATGTCTCTCTCAGTAGTGCTCTTCGGAGTGGGCGGGGTCACAGAAGAATCTGGAGCTGCGTTTGGCCGATCGGGCCGTGAAGGGGACGGTCTTCAAAACTGCAGGGGGGAAAAAAGAGGTGAGAAACCCCCCAAATGTCAGGATATGATTGAGGTCAACCCTGTAACAGCTTTGCCTTCTGACCAATCAGATCTCTGTATCACACCTGCTGTTCAGAAGACTAGCTTTTGATCGTGATTGGTCAGATCCTGCAGACTCCACCCCTTTTTATGTGAGCACTCACAGGAACTAACATTCATACTAATAGTACTAATAGAGTATGTCGTTTCTGACAGTCTGATGATGACTGTGTTACCTGTGATGATGATGATGAAGGTGTTACCTGTGGTGATGATGATGAAGGTGTTACCTGTGATGATGATGATGAAGGTGTTACCTGTGGTGATGATGAAGGTGTTACCTGTGGTGATGATGAAGGTGTTACCTGTGATGATGATGAAGGTGTTACCTGTGATGATGATGAAGGTGTTACCTGTGGTGATGATGATGATGATGACTGTGTTACCTGTGATGATGATGATGATGAAGGTGTTACCTGTGGTGATGATGAAGGTGTTACCTGTGATGATGATGAAGGTGTTACCTGTGGTGATGATGGTGTTACCTGTGGTGATGATGATGATGATGACTGTGTTACCTGTGATGATAATGATGATGAAGGTGTTACCTGTGGTGATGATGATGATGATGGTGTTACCTGTGATGATGATGATGATGATGAAGGTGTTACCTGTGATGATGAAGGTGTTACCTGTGATGATGAAGGTGTTACCTGTGATGATGGTGTTACCTGTGATGATGAAGGTGTTACCTGTGATGATGAAGGTGTTACCTGTGATGAAGATCTTACCTGTGATGATGATGTTACCTGTGATGATGAAGATCTTACCTGTGATGATGTTACCTGTGATGATGAAGGTGTTACCTGTGATGATGATGTTACCTGTGATGATGAAGATCTTACCTGTGATGATGTTACCTGTGATGATGAAGGTGTTACCTGTGATGATGATGTTACCTGTGATGATGAAGATGTTACCTGTGATGATGATGTTACCTGTGATGATGAAGGTGTTACCTGTGATGATGATGTTACCTGTGATGATGATGATGTTACCTGTGATGATGAAGGTGTTACCTGTGATGATGATGTTACCTGTGATGATGATGATAATGATGATGATGAAGGTGTTACCTGTGATGATGATGTTACCTGTGATGATGATGATGATAATGATGATGATGAAGGTGTTACCTGTGATGATGTCCTCGATGGCGCCATCCTTTCCCTCGTAAACATGGCGGCTGTCTTTTCCTTGCCGTCGTCTCAGCTCAGTGATCAGCTCCTGCTGTTGTCTCCTCCCCCTGTGAGAGGGAGACTGAGGGAGGACGGACAGGGTTTAACCTTTGACCTTTAGAAATCATTATGGTTACTTAACCTTTAACTGAGGTGAGGTCACAGACTCACCTTTGTCTCTGCCTCTTCCTCCTGCTGCTCCTCCTGCTCCAGTTTCTCCAACAACATCTGCTCCTGACGCCGCCTCTGCTCGTTCTCCTCCTCGGCTGCCTGCACACGTGTCAACACAAAGAAACATGCAGATCACCTCCACTCTTCTTCAAGTCATGACTTCACTTCATGCTGAAAAGAGGCGGAGCCTGAAAACGTTGACTCACCCTGTAGGCTTTAATGAAGCGAACAAAGATGGGGAAGAAGACCGAGGGAGGCATCGTCTTTGAACTCTCTCCAAAAAACTTCACCACGTCTTCAAATGCATCCTAGGGTTAGGGTTAAAAGAGAAAGTCACTTTTTACAGTGTGCTCAAGGTGACCTCATTCCTAAGTGACTTACCTGTGCGATGCGTGCGTCCTCCTGCAGCTTGCCCAGTCTTGATTCGTTCCTGCTGATGAAGTCTTTAAGCGTGGCGTTGTGTTGGACGCTAAACTCTCTCCAGGTGAGTTCCATGCCGCGTTGCAGCTCCTTCACATCACACAGCACGTTCTCCAGACTCACTGCACACAGGTAAGACACCAAAGTGAGTCACAACGTGGGATGTTTGCAGTGCTGTGATTGGAGGACTGACTCACCTGCAGCAGCTTTGTC